CTAGCACACAGCTAGCATACAGCTAGCACACAGCTGACATACACAGCTAATGAACAGCTAGCACACAGCTAGCATACAGCTAGCGCACAGCTAACATAAACAGTTAATGAACAGCTAGCACACAGCTAGCACACAGCTAACATAAACAGCTAATGAACAGCTAGCACACAGCTAGTGTACAGCTAGCACACAGCTAGCATACAGCTAGCACACAGCTAACATAAACAGCTAATGAACAGCTAGCACACAGCTACCATACAGCTAGCAAACAGCTGAACAGCTAGCACACAGCTAGCATACAGCAAGCACACAGCTAACATAAACAGCTAATGAACAGCTAGCACACAGCTAGTGTACAGCTAGCACACAGCTAGCATACAACTAGCACACAGCTAACATAAACAGCTAATGAACAGCTAGCACACAGCTAATGAACAGCTAGCACACAGCTAACATAAACAGCTAATGAACAGCTAGCACACAGCTAATGAACAGCTAGCGTACAGCTAGCACAGAGCCTCTGACAGACACAGGGCTCCAGTTCTCTGTAAGTGTAAATAAAACTCAGATTAAATGTTTAAAACTTGTTTTAATATTTATGTAAAATCATTAAAACTGTTAGAAACAGAACAAACTTCTGTTGTTCATCAGGAGGAACTACTTTCTGCGGTGGAGGAATCATGTTTTAGGACAGGTTTGCCTGACACCAAGCAGAACCAAACAGAGTTCTGTGTTCTGTGGGTCAGAACCAGATCCTCTGGTCCTCGGGTCGGCTGCATGTCTATTGTCAGTAAAATATCTGGTGTCATTTTTCAGATCTGTAGACCAGATCTGTAGACCAGACCTGTAGACCAGATCTGTAGACCAGACCTGTAGACCAGATCTGTAGACCAGACCTGTGAACCAGATCTGTAGACCAGACCTGTGAACCAGACCTGTAGATCAGACCTGTAGACCAGACCTGTAGACCAGACGAACCAGACCTGTAGACCAGATCTGTAGACCAGATCTGTAGACCAGACCTGTAGACCAGACCTGTGAACCAGATCTGTAGACCAGACCCGTAGACCAGACCTGTAGACCAGCCCTGTAGACCAGACCTGTAGACCAGACCCGTAGACCAGACCTGTAGACCAGACCTGTGAATCAGACTTGTAGACCAGACCCGTAGACCAGACCCGTAGACCAGACCTGTGAACCAGACCTGTAGACCAGACCTGTAGACCAGACCCGTAGACCAGACCCGTAGACCAGAACTCTGGTTGTTGTTTTCGTCACAGACGGTGCATTATGATGTGGATTCAATTTGAACGGTTCTCCTGGTCCTTCTCAGTCCTCACCAAGCCTCCTGGTCTACCAGGTCCTCCTCAGTCCTCCCCGGTCCTCCTCGTCCATGCAGGCTCTAAATTTAGTCCTGACATTTAAACCCTCTGCAGGACTGCAGGCATCAGGTTTCAGTCAGAGACGTTTGTGGACAGAAAGTCCACGTGGGACTGAAACTAAAGAGTGTTGACTTGAGGACACATGAGATCCAGACCCTGAGTGTCCTAAAGACCGGTGCCCCAGAGGACAATGGGAAAGGCAGTCCATCAGAGACATGTCCACCTCTGTCCCTGCAGGCTGTCAGAGACATGTCCTCCTCTGTCCCTGTCAGAGACATGTCCTCTGTCCCTGTCAGAGACATGTCCTCTGTCCCTGTCAGAGACATGTCCACCTCTGTCCCTGCAGGCTGTTAGAGGCATGTCCTCCTCTGTCCCTGTCAGAGGCTTGTCCTCCTCTGTCCCTGTCAGAGACATGTCCTCCTCTGTCCCTGTCAGAGGCAAGTCCTCCTCTGTCCCTGTCAGAGACATGTCCTCCTCTGTCCCTGTCAGAGGCATGTCCTCCTTTGTCCCTGTCAAAGACATGTCCACATCTGTCCCTGCAGGCTGTCAGAGACATGTCCACCTCTGTCCCTGTCAGAGACATGTCCTCCTCTGTCCCAGTCAGAGACATGTCCACCTCTGTCCCTGTCAGAGACATGTCCTCCTCTGTCCCAGTCAGAGACATGTCCACCTCTGTCCCTGCAGGCTGTCAGAGGCATGTCCACCTCTGTCCCTGCAGACTGTCAGAGACATGTCCTCCTCTGTCCCTGAAGACTGTATGAGACATGTCCTCCTCTGTCCCTGTCAGAGACATGTCCTCCTCTGTCCCTGTCAGAGACATGTCCTCCTCTGTCCCTGCAGACTGTATGAGACATGTCCTCCTCTGTCCCAGTCAGAAACATGTCCTCCTCTGTCCCTGCAGGCTGTCAGAGACATGTCCTCCTCTGTCCCAGTCAGAAACATGTCCTCCTCTGTCCCTGCAGACTGTATGAGACATGTCCACCTCTGTCCCTGCAGGCTGTCAGAGACATGTCCACCTCTGTCCCTGCAGACTGTCAGAGACATGTCCACCTCTGTCCCTGCAGACTGTCAGAGACATGTCCACCTCTGTCCCTGTCAGAGGCATGTCCACCTCTGTCCCTGCAGACTGTCAGAGACATGTCCTCCTCTGTCCCAGTCAGAGACATGTCCACCTCTGTCCCTGCAGGCTGTCAGAGACATGTCCACCTCTGTCCCAGTCAGAGGCATGTCCTCCTCTGTCCCTGTCAGAGACATGTCCTCCTCTGTCCCTGCAGGCTGTCAGAGACATGTCCACCTCTGTCCCAGTCAGAGGCATGTCCTCCTCTGTCCCTGTCAGAGACATGTCCTCCTCTGTCCCTGCAGGCTGTCAGAGACATGTCCACCTCTGTCCCAGTCAGAGACATG